TCTCTCTCTCTCTCTCTCTCTCTCTCTCTCTCTCTCTCTCTCTCTCTCTCTTTCTTTCTTTCTACACATACACACACACACAAACACAGAAACAAACGAACACACAAATCATTTTACTGGCGGACTCCGAACCTAACCAGTCTCTACAGACGTGAAAATATCCGTCCATGAGAAATTCAAAATAAACCAATTCCTAAAGATGTAAAAATATTATCAGTCTATAGGGCTTCGAACTGAATCAACTCCTACACATGGGAAAATATCCATCCATGAGGACTCCGAAACTAATCAATTTCTTCAGATGTGAACACATTCGCTCATGAAAACTCCGGACTTAATCAATTTCTACAGATGACTCCAGACCCAAACAACTTGTACAGATGTCAAAATATTATCAGTACATTGTAAGTCCGAGCATCACCAATTCGTACAAATGTGAAAATATGACCAGTCCATTGGACTCCAAACCTCCCAATCAATTTCTTCAGATGCGAAAACATTCCCCTATGAAAACTCCAAACTTATCCAATTTCTACAGAAGTGAAAATAAAACCCATATAAGAGGACTCCAAACCTGACCAATTTCTCCAAATGTAAACTTATCACCAGTCCATAGAACTCCAGGCCTAAACAATTCCTTGAATGTGAACATATTACTAGTCCATAGAACTTCAAACCTAACCAACTCTTTCAGATATAAACATATTATCAGTCTAGAGAACTCCAAACTTGACCAATTCCTTCAGATGTGAACATATCCATAAGACTCCGAACGAATTTAACCAATTCCAACAAACGTGAAAATATGATCAGTCCACAGAACTCCAAACCTAACCAATTCCTTAAATGTGAACATATTATCTGTCCATGAGACTAAACCACTTTCTTCAGATGTAGAAAAGCACCAGTTCATGAGAAGTCCGAAACAACCCAATTTCTATAGATGTGAAAATATGATCAGTTCATAGGACTTCAAACCTAACCAATTCCTTCATACATGTAATGTGTGAACATATCCATAAGACTCCGAACGAACTTAACCAATTCCAACATATGGGAACTTATTATCAGTCCATGAGAACTCCAACCCTGACCAACTCTTTCAGATGTAAACGTTTTATCAGTCCATATGTCTCTAAACCCAACCAATTTCTTCAGATGTGAAAACATTCGCCCATGACAACTCCGAACTTAACCAATTCCTACAGATATGAAAATCAAACCCATCTTAGAGGACTCCAAACCTGACCAATTTCTTCAGATGTAAACATAGCACCAGTCCATAGAACTTCAAGCCTAACCAATTCCTTAAATGTAAACATAGCACCAGTCCATAGAACTCCAAACCCAACCAATTTCTTCAGATGTAAACACATTCGCTCATGAAAACTCCGAACTTAACCAATTTCTACAGACGTAAAAATATTGTCAGTACATTCCAACTCTGAACCTCACCAATTATTACAACAGATGTGAAAATATCTGTACATGTGAACTCCAAACCGAATCAATTCCTACAGATGTAAAAATAATAATATCCTTCCACGAGGTACTCCACTTCTTGTGTTCGCCCAGGTCCCTCCATAATGGGGAATTCTGAGTCTTTAGCGAGCGCGAACAATCACTCTGGCTCATTAAATCTTCCGGCCGTCTCAAAACGATAATTATTAGGCTGTGAAGACAAAGAAACGAAACACTGGATCGATCATCCGATTCGATATGGAATCGAATTCTTCTTGCTTGTCCTAACAAAATTGAGATGTTAAATTTTTTTCTTCTGAATTCGATTACGAAAATGTATTCGCAGCTGTGTGTGGAAGAATATTTGAATAATATTTTACGCAGAATTTTCATTTTTTTTTTTTTTAGCCCTTGTGAATCTTCCAGGTTTCAGTGTAAACGATTTTTTGACGAATTTAAAATGTAAACAAAATGAAAGACAGTTCATTCACTTCTTATGCAACTCAGAAATGCTTGAAGATTAGGGTTTTCCTTTTTTAAGGGGGGGGGGGGGGGGGGGGGGGGCTTGGGAGGGGTTCATAATCATAGAGGTAAAACAGCACACTTCTGTATGGGAATCGATTCTAGAACTGTTCACAATCAAATACAAGCATTGAATCTATTTTTTATAAAATAAAATTATGAAAGATTGTGATTTCTTGTGTTGGGGTGGGGGTGGAGAGAAAAAAGAACGAGAGAGAGGGGGAGGCAAGAGATGATTGTAGGGGGGGGGGGGGCAGGGGTAGAGAGAGAGGGAGAGAGAGAGAGGGGGGGGGAGAAACACACAGAGACAGACAGACAGACAGACAGACAGACAGACAGACAGACAGACAGACAGATAGACAGACAGACAGACAGACAGAAACGAGAGCGAGAGAGAGAGAGAGAGAGAGAGCGAAAGAGAGAGAGAGAGAAAGAGAGAATTTGCAAACTCCTTAAACAATCTTTGTCGTCCTTTTTTACCCGTGCAGGAGGCCTGCTAGTTTACATCAAGATCAGTTCTATGTCTCGTATAATAATAACATTGATAATAATAATTTTAATAATAATAATAATGATAAATAGCATTTGTTTAATAACAGCGCATAACCCCGCTCTATCGAAAGCTCTATGCGCTTTACACTACATTATATTATTATTACCCCAGCAGACCATAGAACACTCGAAACATTATCAGCTCCCCGGGAAGCATACTTATTATATTGTATACTTGAATTGCTTTTCGTGTTTGTACCATTGAAACTCCCATCAAAACAACGAGAAATCTTGTCCAGGTCGGAACATTTCATTTTGTGTTAGCCCTAGCAGGGAGGGTCGAAGCAGCCCGTCCCTCAATTGGTCTAAATTGTGTTGATAGGGGCGTAAAAAAACTCACAATTGAAGGGGTCTTTTCAATAACGTACCCAAGTCACTCTTGGGTAGTTTCAGAAAAAGGCCAAAAACTGTGTTTCGTTAATAGTATTGCACTGGGAAAGGCGAGCTAAAACAGTGTAGTGAACATAGCTATGAAAATCAAAGATACAGTCTCCGGGCACAAATCTCGAAAGAGCCGTATTGTACGGAAATAGGGACTATAGAAAGTATCTGCGTTATCATTATTATCATAATAATACTTATTATTGTTATTATTGCCATAATTATTGTTATTATTGCTATTATTATTATTTTTATTATTATTTTTATTATTATTATTATTATTATCATCATCATTATCATTATCATTGTTGTTGTTATTATTATTGTTGTTGTTGTTGTTGTTGTTGTTGTTGTTGTTGTTGTTGTTGTTGTTGTTGTTGTTGTTGTTGTTGTTGTTGTTAATGCTGCTGTTGTTGTTGTCATTTTTGTTGTTGCTGTGATAATCAATATTATAATTAATATCACTATTATCAGAGGCGAAGCATCTGTATAATCAAATAATCACTGCCTCCCTTCCTAATTTTGAAAATTGTCGCAGTCAAATTCACCCATAAACGTAAACTTCATAAATTAAATGTAAAAAAACGTTAATAATCAACAATGAACAGTGTGCCTAACATTCTAAACGGTTTCATTGCCACAGAAATAGCCGGTTCATCCCTCTTGGGCCACTCCATAAGCAGTCACAAGCTTTGATTAAGTAAGCTTAAAGTGAGACTGGAAGAGTCTACCAACAGAATTGAAGGGAACATGTGCAGGGCAGTCAAAACTGTTTCATTGCCACATATACCCTGTTCACCCCTTTCGGGCCACAGTTATAATCAGTCTCAAGCACTGATTAGGTAAGCTAACTATTACACTGGTCGAATCTACCTCACAGATGTGAGGGGAACTAACTCCTAATAATCTCTCGACTGCTTCAAGTGCTTGTTTTTTTTTCCCTCGACTTTTTACTGCCCTATAATCAGATCGTGACCTCGATTATGACACAGGCTCGTGGCCGCGAAAGGCTGGACAAAAAACAGCCAAATGTGAAATTTAAAAAATGATAATCGTCATGTTCTACCTGAGTTAGAGACTCCCTGGTAGATGTATAACAATTAGATCTAGTACTGACATCTCTGCTTCTTTGCTTTGTGTTTGTGTATTCACATCTAAAGTTAAATAAAATTTTAATTGGAATTGATATTTAATGAGATACTTTCCCGATTATTTTGGCGGTTGAACATATAATAATGAATTCTGGATTTGTTTTCATTCACAACTCTGAGTCGCGCCTCGAGCAAGGTTCTTGCCATATCTGGTCCAGTTTCACTTTGATTACCCTGTCAAACAAGTCAGCCTTCGCCCCTGACTATTCTTATACAATTATCATTATCATTATCTCTAGCATTAGCTTTAGCATTAGCTTTAACATCATCATCATCCCCACCATCATTATCACCTTCCCCATCCTCATCACCATCATCATCACCTTCACCATCTTCAACATCAGCATCATTTAACACGCTTCCTACCATCTCCTCCCACCTCCCCCACACCCCCACCTCTCCTCCCACCTCTCCCCCATCCAATCTCCACCTCCCTCCACAACCACCCCCCCCCCTCCTTCTCTCCCCCACCCCTCTCCCCCTCCCCAGCCATGCGCCCAGACCGGCTTGGGGTGCAATGACGACAAGAAGTGTTGCAGCAAGCACGAGACATGCCTCACAGAGCTCAAGTACAACAGGCGCTCGAACAGCTGTCAGGACCTCCGCCCGGAGAGGACAGGCTATAAGACACTGGGTATGTATTCCAGAACGTTTGTGTGTTTGTATGTTTGTATGTGTGTGTGTGTTTGTGTGTGTGTGTTTGTGTGTGTGTGTGTGTGTGTGTGTGTGTGTGTGTATGTGTGTGTGTCTGTGTCAGTGTGTTTTGTAGTTATTACTAACAGCTGTCAGGACCTCCGCCCGCAGAGGACAGGCTATAAGACACTGGGTATGTATTCCAGAACGTTTGTGTGTTTGTATGTGTGTGTGTGTTTGTTTGTGTGTGTGTATGTGTGTGTGTGTGTGTGTGTGTGTGTGTGTGTGTGTGTGTGTGTGTCTGTGTCAGTGTGTTTTGTAGTTATTACTAACAGCTGTCAGCACCTCCGCCCGGAGAGGACAGGCTATAAGACACTGGGTATGTATGTATTCCAGAACGTTTGTGTGTTTGTATGTGTGTGTGTGTTTGTGTTTGTTTGTGTGTGTGTGTGTGTGTGTGTGTGTGTGTGTGTGTGTGTGTGTGTGTGTCAGTGTGTTTTGTAGTTATTACTAACAGCTGTCAGCATCTCCGCCCAGAAAGGACGGGCTATAAGACACTGGGTATGTATTCCAGAACGTTTGTGTGTTTGTATGTGTGTGTGTGTGTGTGTGTGTGTGTGTGTGTGTGTGTGTGTGTGTGTGTGTGTTTGTTTGTGTATGTGTGTGTGTCTGTGTCAGTGTGTTTTGTAGTTATTACTACCAGCTGTCAGCACCTCCGCCCAGAAAGAACGGGCTATAAGACTCTGGGTATGTTGAGTTTGTTTGTGTCTTTGTGTGTCTGTGCGTTTACTTGATCCTTTGGTTGGTTCTTCATTTATTTGTTCGTCTTTGGTAATCACTAGTAACAACTGTCAGCACCTCCGTCCTGAGAGGACGGGCTATAAGACACTGGGAGTGTGCTCCAGGAAATTGTGTGTTTGGTTGTTTGTTTGTGTGTGACTCTAGATATGTCCTCCGCAGCATTGAGGACCTATCAGTGGCGCCCTCCAACCACCCACAAGCTTCTATGTGGCAGTATCCGATATTGGCCATTCCTCTACAGAAGCACAATGTATCTAAATGAAGAAAGTCATTGTAATTTTACATCTTTTTACGTCCCCATCAGCACAATAACTCAGACCTTTTAGAAGGCGGTTTGCTTCGAAGGCCAACCCCACCGAAAAAGAAAAGAAAAAATTCCAAAGTCGTCAACGAATCAATAGCCAAGAACAGAGAGTTTCTACACATTATGTATCTCAAAGAGAGACGGAGGTACCCACGGCCCAAATTTGGAAAAAATAATGTAAGTCAGTGAAAAGAGAGAAAAAAAATGAAGTACCTCCCCGGCGGGGAATCGAACCCCGGTCTCCCGCGTGACAGGCGGGGATACTTACCACTATACTACCGAGGACACATCTGCAGACTTCCCAGATTTTGTGTCTTCCAGGTGATGTTGCTCAAATGTGTTGCTCCACAATAGACACATTGGTACATTCTGCTATAGCATTCTGCACAGAATTTTCCTTACTTTGGACAAGTTGAGGTTTTACGAGTCTCAGAGAAATTTGAGTAAAACAAAAGAAAGTAACGGGCAACCACCCCAACAAACAAATAGAGAAGAGACCTAACCTTAACCCTAACCCTAACCCAACCCTATCATCTTACCCCTACCTTTAACCCTTCCCCTACTCTGTACCTTACCCCCAAAACCCTAACCCTGACCCTACTCAGTTTCACATTGGTGACTCGTTACGAAATTTCTCCCAAAAGAAAAATCTTACTGATAATTAATTGATAAAACAGGGTTACCTTACAGCCGAATACGAGGAGAAAAAAGGAGAAAACAACAATTCTTTTTTATTGCTCTCGCGCGTGACAGGCACAAGGGCCAAAAAGAAAAGAAAACTAGAGTAAACTGAATGAGAACTGTGCAAGAAAATCTCGCCTAAGTAAGCTACCACCAATTAGGAGACAATTCGTGAAAAAGGATGAGAAAAAAATAAGGTACCTCCCCGGCGGGGAATCGAACCCCGGTCTCCCGCGTGACAGGCGGGGATACTTACCACTATACTACCGAGGACACATCCTCAGATTTCCCAGATTTTGTGTCTTCCAGATGGGATGTTGCTCAGGTGTGTTGTTCCACAATAGACACATTATTATATTCTGTTCAACAGTCAGCACAGGTCTTTATTCACTTTGGACGAGGTAAGGTTTTACCAGTCTCTGAGAAATGGGAGTCAAATAAAGGAAAGTAACTGGCGACCACCCCAACAATCACTATAGAGAAGAGACCTAACCCTAACCCTAACCCTAACCCTAACCCAACCCCTACACCCTGTAATGTGAAGCGTGCTGACAAAATGAGTTCCTTCTCAGATTCAACCCTTAAATGCACTACATCACGCGTGTAGGTGAAGTTTTTACAATTCATATAATGGGTATGAAATAATAAAATGCATGGTATACTTAAAGAATATGACATCAGTAGAACAATCTTCCAATTTGACTTAAGTGTCGAATTTTGGCCAATATCTCCACTTGTGGACTGCGACAGGTAACTCATTTTGTCTGCACACTCCCACAAATAGATAAGATACCTATCCCAAACCCTAACCCAACCACTACACCCCTCCCCAACCATACCCCTTCCCCTAACCCTTACCTTATCCCAAAACCCTAACCCTGACCCTAACCCTAACCCTTTATTCTACTCTGTTTCATAGTGGTCGCTCCTCCCAAAAGAAGAATCTTATTGATAAGACAGGGTCACCTCACGGCCGTATAAGAATTGTTTTCTTGTTTTTGAAAGCCAGAAGAAAACAACATTTCTTTTTAAGTTGGTCTCGCGCGTGACAGGCACAGAAACAAAAAAGGCTAAACTGAATGAGAACCACCTTGTAAAATCGAGCCTAAAATAAGCATGTAGGGCCTTATACTACCAATAAGGAAACGGGGGGGGGGGGGGG